TAATTCCAAACTTATTCCTTTAGCAGGGTTGTTTTGGGGAGTTTACAAAGCTTGAATCATTTTTTCAAAATTTTTGTGATTATGAGAAATCTCATGGTCTTGGGCTATTTTTGGCAGAGTTTCTACATCCAGCATTTGAAGCTATAGAACATGGAGCTGGTCAGAATATTTTTTTGGGAGGGGAAGGGGGACTACAGAAAATTGAAACAAAAATGAAAATGTTTTCACTTGCATTAAAATATTCAATTTTTTTTTTACTTTTTGTCAAAAAACCCAAACATTCAAAAGTTTTTGGCAGCCAAACATTGAATATTTTACCTGAAAACTGCCCAAAACTAAAAAAAAATAATTCAGACAGTAACTGCCAATCATTGGGGGAAAAGCAGATATAGGTTTTATGAAGATTTTAAAAAAAAAGAACAGAAACTTTCTGCAAAAATATTAATTTTTGTTGTAAACCCAATTTTCCAAAAACCAAACAAACAAAAAAACCCAGGTTGACAGAAAAATTTTGACCAGCCATAAAAAAATCTCTTTGGGATTTAAAGATTTTAAACATTCAGTGAAAATCTGGTCAGGTGACCCATGAACTCCTATACATAAAAAGATAACATGAAATGAAGTTCCTCAGATCCAGAATGCTTGTGATTTTAAAAAATATATTTAGTCACAAGTGACATTAATCCATTTGGAGAAAACTCTGGTGTGCTTAAATCCTCCTTACTGAGTGTACATGTCAATGCAATCTTTTAGGCCATCTCCTACAGTCATTCTGCATATGGACATGCCAGGATATAGCCTGACACCGACTTCCTCTATAGCAGTGTTTCTGAAACTGGGGTCGCCGCTTGTGTAGGGAAAGCCACTGGTGGGCCGGGCTGGTTTGTTTACCTGCCCCGTCCGCAGGTCCGGTCGATCGCGGCTCCCACTGGCCGCGGTTCGCCGCTGCAGGCCAATGGGGGCTGCTGGAAGCGGCGGCCAGTAAATCCCTCAGCCTGCACCGCTTCTAGCAGCTCCCGTTGGCCTGGAGCAATGAACCGCGGCCAGTGGGAGCCGCGATTGGCCGGACCTGTGGACGGGGCAGGTAAACAAACCGGCCAGGCCCGCCAGGGGCTTTCCCTACGCAAGCGGCGACCCCAGTTTGAGAAACACTGGTCTATAGTCTTCGGTAAGTCACACACTAACATTTATTTCAGTTTATCTGTAGCACTAGGATAAGTGTCCTTATTTATCTACTTCATTGGGTCTTCTGAGATCCAGCAAATAAGTTAATGTTTATGAAGCTCTTTAAATGGTAAATATTATTATTACCAGAATTAATTCATGCAGAAACATATCTAGAGAGTTAATACATGCAGAAATAAAACATGCTTAACACTGGCTGTGTGTTCACTTAAAAAAATCCTCCAGGCTTCTCTGCTTTGAAAGGTTGCAGATACTAACCTTGGTCAAGTGACTCAGGAGAAACCCAACAAAGTGATGTGAGTCTGTTTTTGCTGTCCTGGAGTAGGCTGGCTAGGGGAGGGGTAATCTCTGAGGAAGACTTCATGTAAATATTCAGTTCAGTGTTTCTGACTGATTCAGAGGGGTGATAAACCTGTCCCTTTGGAGCTGTGTAAATAATGTTTGAAGAATGGCAGTAAATCTAGTCAAAGGATGAACAAACTGCCATTGTAGCCATGTGCATCGGGTTTGCACCTGTGGCTTGTAACAAGCAGGAAAAATACTTTTGTTAAGGGGAAAAAAACAACAATTAACTTGCTCCTCCCATTTTTTCTTTCTCACTTTTATCAAGGCCAATGTGACCTGTTCTGTGGATTGTTTTTTTAAAGATGAGAGTCCCTTAAAGCTCTTCATTACTCTGTCCCATCAGTCTCAGAAATGCCACTTGTTCTCTATTGACATCAGCAGACTCTTTAAACACTCCTACTAGGCTGCTTAGAAATCTTCCCCAGGAGCGATAACTCGTAAAAGTAGCTCTGAATGTTCTTAAGTTCAAGGGCTCCTTACAATTCTCCCCCATCAAAGATTCATGCTCCCTCCACTCCACCAACTAAACACTTATTAAAATTAATCAAAATGGTTTCCTCATCCCTGCTTCAGTTTTTGCAGCTTCTGATGTGAAGGCTCGCACCCTGGCTGGGCATTTTTTCAAGATTTTTTTGCCAGTTGCAGAATTGGTCTGGGTGGTACCTTCAGACTGCAAGCTACAGTGATCTGTAGGGGGAGAATGAGTCAATTATTGAGTACTAGTTTGTTTATGTATGTGTGTGTGTGCGTGCGTGCGCACACACGTGTGGATTGTATTGTCCCAATGTATTATCCCCTGTATACTTTTTTAATACCTGGTGCAATCAGGTTCATTCCAAATTTTTAAAAACACCAATATTCAAAAGTGTCCAAAGATCAGGGATAAAATTAACCCTAGCAGATTGGGTTAGCATTGATGTAAATCAGGAGAAACTCCATTAACGCCATTGGAGCTACACTGATGTAAAATCAGCATCAGCAAGAGGAGAATAAGGCACAACCTTTGTGTTTGTATGCACACTAGTGTTATTTATATTTACATCATTGTAACACATTGGCATTCAGCTTTCTGTTAAACAATTTAGAAAATTTTAACTTTGGCTGTTTTTGCTTTCCCCCTTTTCTCTTTTCCATTCTTTCACCCCTATTTTTCTTGCCTGCTGCACTATGTCTTGTATCTCTTCCACTATCTTTCAATCTCTGTTGTTCTCTTTCCTTCCCTGTACCTTAATCTACCTGGTTTCTCTTCCTCCTCCTTTCCCTGAATTCTATTTGCAACCTACCTCCCCCATGTCCTTTCAGGCTCTCCTTCCTTCTGTATCTCTTTTTCACCCCAATAGTCTTCCTAAATATAATGGTTTCCATTTAAAAAGTTACCATTTACCAACAGTTACCATAGTTTTCCCCTGTTCTTAAAATAGGAATAAACATCGGTACCTCAGACCCTGCTGTGTGGTCATTATTGACAAATGGTAACAATATAAAGGTGACCCCTGTAAATGTATTACATTAGAAAATATGTATTACGCTAGAAAGCATGCCTAACAAAGAGAAGGTTAAGAGGTGAGCTGATTACAATCTATAAGTACCTATATGGGGAATAAATATTTAATAATGGGCTCGTTTATCCAGCAGAGAAAAGTGTAACATGATCCAGTGGGTGTAAGTTGAAGCTAGACAAATTCAAACTGGAGATAAGGTGTAAAATTTTAACAGTGAAAGTAATTAACCACTGGAACAATTTACCAAGCGGTGCGGTGGATTCTCCATCATGGACAATTTTAAATCAAGATTGGGTGTTTTTCTAAAAGATCTGCTCTAGGAATTATTTGGGGAAGTTCTATGGAGTGATCACAATGGTCCCATTTGGCCTTGGAATCTATGAAGTAGAGTATGTACAGTTTCAATGGGGTTCAGTGAGACCACTCATTGAGTAAGATACTACTTAACATGAATAAGGATGTCACAATCTGGTCCAATTTATTTAATAAGGCCCACTAATGACACTTTATCTAGTCTGCCACAAACAAATTTAGTAATTTCTGCATTTATACAATACAACTTACAGAATTTTAATGAAATTTTACTGAAAAGAAAACCTTTTTTATACCCCCAATATAAAATATGACCTAGCCCCAAGATTACGTCAAAGTATAGCGTCTGCTTATGTTTTACATATTAAATATCAGCAAAAATAAGTGTTCATTTCTCCATGATACCTCCAGATGGCATTAAAACTCTTCTCCTTTAAGTCTTTATTGTAATATCATTTTTTTTTAAATGGTAACCATTGGAAGCATTCTGTACCAACATACACTATTAACCGTTCCCAACAATCATATTATCAGAAGGCATAAAGCTGCTAGTGCTTCGTTTATTAAACAAGTTTGACTAAATATAACATATTGTAATTACATTCTACAGCAAAATCTACAGGACAAGCCATTCATAGACCATGTCAAATCTTTTTATAGATTCATTTCCAGAAGATTTTTTAATATATATTTATATCAGAAATCAAAACATTCAACAATCACACTTATTGTACCTTCTTCTATGGCTACTTTTGGCCATGTAACAGATGGTGACACCTTGCAAGACTTACATGATCTAGCACTCTGAATTTAAATAAGAAGAGCCAGAGGACACAAATTACAGACAAGATGCACTCTAAAATTCACATGACTGCACTGTGAAAAGAATTCCACTCCCACTCAAATGGGATAAAAAGGGTCAGTGATTTTGTAGAAATTCAATCCTCTCCTAACTCATGTGAGCAAAATCAAGTTTGCTGATCTAGCCTGTTTTTTTTTTTTTTTAAACTTTGAGTCCCTCCATTTGAAGAGTTGGTTTATTCTAGTAACAGTAAAACAGTCAATTCCCTTGTACACTAAAAAAAATAAAAAATGGGAAAAACCTCTACTGTTGCATTAAAGTAAAGGTGAACACTGATATATTACAAGTGCCTGTTCCCATCTGTTTCTCAACTGCTTTTGTTAATTCAAAAACATCAACAAAATCGTGAGAGACCAGAGGTAGCTGTAATTGGATTTCAAGTAATTCAGAGGTGAAGTTGCAGACTGCAGTCTTTTAAAATTACATCAGTACATCAAAGGCATATGTGACATGATATCTTCTGGAAAATGTGACAAACTTCTGCAGCTTTAAGGTAATATTGGACCTCTCCGGTTGTAAAAGCCTACCTCACTCACTCACTCCCTCCACTAAAAATAATTTAATATTTATTCAGCTTGTTACAGAGCCATCTTACTTTTCAAGATCTCTCACAATAAGGATGCTAATGATTTATGAACAATTAACTATGAATCATTACTTAAAAGCCTTTTAAAGAACAGCATCAGTGAAAGAGCTTCATCTTAATGAAAACAAACAGACAAACACTATTTGGCATGACAAAGCAGATAAAAACATAGCAATCATCTCTGATCACAAATACGAAACTGACTTACGATGTATGTGATGCACTGTTTTCTGGATTCTTTGGCTCAGCATCACCTTTCCCTTAAAAAAGAAGAAAAATAATATAAAAAATAAGTGAATATCAAAATCTTTATGGTGTTAGAGGTCAATACATTATCAGGCTAATTTTAACACTTTCAAAGTGTATAGAAGAATGCTTTTTAAATATCATATGGCAGGAAGCTGGGACACTAACTGAGCACTTGCAAACTGGGAGTTAACATCAGCATGACTTTTCCTGTCCCTTGTATATGTGCTTAGGGGTAAGTTGTAAAGCAGGCCTGACAATTTCATGACTATCAGATCCCTGGCAAGAAGGCAGGAAACTCTATAAGGCTGGCTGCTTGCAGGATAGAAGGACAGAATGCCTTGGAGCCTTAGTCACTATAGGCCTGAGGTGACAGATCAGTCTGAAGGGTTTGGGGATCCCTTCCCTCCCCCCCCCACCCCCCCCCCCCCAAAAACCACAAACAAGCAAACAGTTTGATTCACCTTATTTGCTGTGAATACCACTCTCTGAACAACCTGCGGAACCCCAGTGCTAGATAGTCCCTAGTCCTAACATGGCCGTGCAGGGTATACAGACATATTTGGGCTACCCAGAACTTGACTTTGAGGCCTGTGCAGATCACTGTGACTGTGCAGTTGCTGCTCTGCTTTGTAAGCAAGCAGGTGTGGAGAAGACAGAGAGGCTCAGGGAGCAGATGGATCCATGGCTCTTTTCCTTCCTGACCTCAAGTGCTCCCCAGAAGAGCTGTCTGGAACCACTCTGGGAACTAAGATGCATCTTTTCAGTACCACAGTACATTACTTCCCCTTACTTGTACAAAAAGAGAGGCCCAGTCACAATTCTACCTGGGTCCCCTCCCAGGACAATGGTCACATATGCTGCTCCTTACACAGGGCTGTGGGTCACTGCCCTAATTTAGCAGCCATTAAGGAGAAACATGGTTGGTCTGAAATAGGGTTACCATATGTGGAGTGTCCCAAAAGAGGACACTCCACGGGGCCCCGGCTCCGCCCCCCGCCCCGCCCACGCCCCCGCCCAAACTCCGCCCCCTCCCCCAAAGTCCCCGCCCAACTCCGCCCCCTCCCCTGCTTCCCGCGAACATTTGATTCGCGGGAAGCAGGCAGCAGGTAAGGGGGGGGGG